CCCCAAAACCCCAAAACCCCAAAACCCCACTAGGATATTATTCTATGGATATAGTTGAATAAAAAAGATGAAATAATAATACGTTATTAAAATAGTTTATATGATATAGAATTCATATTAAGTTGACTTATTTAGTTACTTAGGAGGATTTTATATGAAATCCTCTCATTCTTATTTGATGTTTCATAGTTGCACCTGCTATTCTTATTATATTTAGGATATCTGAGAGTGTTGTTAAACTCTATTTTATATTTCCTCAACTTACTGTTAAAATTATTGGTTGGATAATGTAAAAATTGAAAGGTTATTTTAGTTACAATTCTATTGGCTAATTTACTTATTCTTTCTCTAAGCTTGTTTATTCCTAGAAAATCTAGAGTTATTACTACTGCCTCTGCTATTTGCCCGACTAGTAGCTCTACTTATATTAGATTAAACCAGTTTTCTAGTCTCTCTTTAAATTTTTTAATCCATTACGGCTCTTTTTTTCTCGTCATACTCTCTCTCGAGGTCATCTAATTTCTGTTTCTTTAATTATTCAAACTCTTTGGAGCATAATTGCATTTCTTGATCTTTTTCTTTTCTTTTCTCATCAGCTTTATCCTTTTATTTAGATTAATCTAACTTTTTTATCATAAAATCATAAGTAGCTTTGATTTCCGCAAGTTTCTCATATTTTTACTATGTAACTTCTTCAATTAACTATTCCATCTGACTTGACTTTGCAACTGAAAGAGTTTCTATCATATGCTCACAATTAGACCAGATCTAATGCATGGATTCCTCATACTCTTGCTACTAGCTCTTGTCAGAAATTGGAGAATTATCTTGAATATCCTCAAGATAATTTTGATTATTATAGAAATATTAAGAGCTGTCCTTAGTAGAGCATCCTTTTATCATAGAAATATTGTTTATATCATCATCAAACTTTATTTGAAACATACCATTCCCACCATTTTTAGTAGAACCAGGTCTGCTGTTGATCCATAATTCATCTAAAGTTTAATCTTAAATGGAAGTGTTAATGGATCTTTTAGATATCTAGAGTTACTTTCTCTCTGCAAGTCTTTTGCGCAGATTTTCACTCTAATTTTCTAAGCTCTTCTTTACTTCTTCAGCAGCTGATTATTTAAGTTACTCCTGATCTTATAATTTTTGACCAATACCTTCTCCGTTGATTTCTTTCATATTTTCAACTAATAGTTACTTTCTCTCTTTTTATCGCTTTTCATGCTCTTCTTTTATCAATTACTAAGTTTTTTAAGGATTATAGCCCCTATTATTAGTTGATTTTGATCTACTTTATCCAATAGGAACAGATTTTTTACTCTAAGTCATGACTTTCAAAACTTCCGGCCTTACTACTGTATTTTAAATTCTTTCAGCGTAGAGTTGATATTTTTCATTATTCAGTCCATTGTAATACTCAACTGCTTACTAAAACATGAAAACTTATAAACTAATCTATTCTACTTACAGAGTACAAGTATAGCAACTGTTGAACAACTTCCATCTTAATCTCACTTTAATTTTTCTCTAAGTGAATTTCAAGTTCAAGTACCTTTTCGGCAAAGTCTGGTGGTAATCTTCTATTTCTTTATGAATATCGGCATCTTAAAGCTTCTTATTCCGGTGAGGTCAGCGAAACTAACTCTTATTCAGCATGCTATGGTTTATTAGAGCCTATCAACTCAGGTATGATAGTTTATTTTAGCGATTGAAAAGTAGTTGCTTTAATAAGTCTTTTTGCTGATTGGAAATAAGAAGTCTTTTGAGTAGATTAAGTCTTATTTAGGATTTTTGCATTAGAAGGTGATATTCTTGATTTCAACATCATCATTATTTATTATAATTACGACACATTTAGATTTGATATTTTATTAATTTCTTATATGATTCCATTAATTTTATAATTCTATTCATGGGGTTTTGGGGTTTTGGGGTTTTGGGGTTTTGGGG